TCGGTTACTATTTCGGGGGATTCTATTATGGATGGCGATGACAAAATTCTCAAGCAATCCTTGTTTTCTATATTTGCTCCGTTGAATATAACAAATTGCTAACAGAGCAGCAACCCTTAAACATAAGGTATTAGCTTTCACCAGTACTTAACAACTATCTAAAAGATCGTCACTCTTTTATTAAATATTTATTAGTTTACTTTATAAATAAATAAATAAGAAACGAAACGTTTACACAGCATAATCTATTCGAAACAATTTTATTTAATAGAATAGAATTAATTTCTAACGATGTACAGTACATAAGGGAAACTATAAGGATAAAATCGAAAATTAATAGACTTATGGGCATAAAAGTACATATAAATAAATATATCTTTTTTATGGCTATATATTTAAGTTGTATATAGATATGTATTGTTGTAGATACATCTTTAGTTAGTTAAGATTAAACTGACTTAAAAATATATTATTACAAATTAAAAATGTAATATATTATCTCGATATTTATCAAGCAAATCATAATATGTTTGCTTGGAAAGTTATCTGGAAATCATTTTATCATAAATCCGTTTGTTTGTATCGGTAATACTGATGTACTGTACTATTGTTTTGTTAGCATTATTACGCACGTTCCATTTAGCAATTCCTAAAACGAGTTTCTTGTGAACTCTGTGGAAGTAAATAACGATTAATTGCAAACTGAAAGTGTTTATTAACCCGTGAGCCAATGTCCTAAGTAGATAATGATCTGCACTGTAAGCTATCAAGCGAGAATGATAGAGAATTCTGGACGAAACTGTTAAAAAAAAAAAGTTTGATTAGATGAATTTTTAAATCATTATAACCATTTAAATTATAACTTATGTTTTATCATTATATTCAATCATTTTAAGTAAATAACACTTAAAGTTTGCCCTTCTCAAGTTCAACTCAGCCTTGTCCACACAAGTAGAAAAGGCTGTCTTGAAAGTCAATTACTCTACATTCCACAAGTCAATTCTTTTATTTATTAAAAAGTTTCATTAAATTTTATACGGTTTATGCAATTTATTATATTATCTCTCGTATGTTTCGTTTCTACTTATGGTATCTATCATTCATAAAGTGATAAAGTTTTTATTAACCCTTCATGTATACAGAATATGCATGAAAATTAATTATATTATATCATTAAAAGATTATTATTTTTTAATGTTAATTAATAAATACAATTTTAACATTCTAATAGCGAGTTTTAAATTTCCATTGGCATTTATTATCATAGCAAAAACAAATATATTTGGCATTTCTTTGAATACATATTTGATATGTTACTGATAAGTGATGACACTTTAAAGGAAAAATTTATCCTTGACCATGCTGTGACTTCCATTATTCGATTTCTTAATATAATTTATTTTACTAAACACATTAAAGAGATCTTCATTACAAAGAAATACAGATGTTCTTCAATTAAAAACTACTGTATTTTTATGAGTCGAATCAATTGTTTGAATAAATATGTTTCTTCAGATGTCAAATAAAAGGAAATTTCGAAAATATTTCTGAAAAGTCTTTAAATTCTTAGAATCATTAAATATAGTAGAGACTACAAACAACTTATTTTATTGTATGTTTTATTTTTACTAAATTTTATGCATAAAACACAATATTAATTAAATGGTTTCAATCCTCGATTAGTAAATACAAATAGTTTTCACTTAGAATATTAATAGATAATAAAAGAATCCTGAATTTAGATCCTTTTTTTTCTTGTTATGTAATCGTATAATCCTATAAAATATCGCATAACTTAATTATTTATACCGTTAAGATACTTAGATTATTAGTTTTAAAAGCTTCACAGTTAACGTTTCAGACAGCTGCATTTCAAATACTTAATTAGTGTTTAAAGATTGGTATTAGTTACATGGATATCGAAGGAAATGTAAGAAAGAAATGTTAATATTTTAAAAATTAAACAAGTGTAGAGTTTCCGAGAATTGTTAGTTGTTTTGTCTGTTTGGTCATTAGTGGTTTTCTAAATTCCAGTTACAGTGCGAGAGATTTTCCAGAAGTTACTAAGGATTGGGGAGAAAATCTAAAATTGGATTTTTGCTGTATGAATTATCAGCTTGTTGAATGTGAGTACGAAGTATAAGACAGAAAAATATTAAAAATTTATATATATATTTTAACCAAATTCGTAAATTAATTTCGAAGCGAATTGTAGTAATGTATTACACACTTTAAATAATAAAAAAATACTTTTATTACGTTCTTCTGCAGCATTTCTCTAGTTTCAACTCCGTATTTAAAAATACTCGAAAACTAGATAATGATTATAATTATCCTCCCTTACTTTAAAAAAAAAAAACAAGTAATCTAACGTAAAAAAAAAGGAGTGTTGTGTGTCATCCAGAATTCCTAAAAATCTCTGAAATGCCCGCTGTAATTTTTAAAGTGAGGTCATTTCAATTAGCTTCTCTACCCTTCTTTCGTGTCCGAGAGGGCTCCTAAGAATCTCTTGAAAATATTCGATCTAGAAAGGAATTGGAGTGTGATATCTTCGGTTACTATTTCGGGGGATTCTATTATGGATGGCGATGACAAAATTCTCAAGCAATCCTTGTTTTCTATATTTGCTCCGTTGAATATAACAAATTGCTAACAGAGCAGCAACCCTTAAACATAAGGTATTAGCTTTCACCAGTACTTAACAACTATCTAAAAGATCGTCACTCTTTTATTAAATATTTATTAGTTTACTTTATAAATAAATAAATAAGAAACGAAACGTTTACACAGCATAATCTATTCGAAACAATTTTATTTAATAGAATAGAATTAATTTCTAACGATGTACAGTACATAAGACCTTGATAAACACTTCTGCAGAACTGGTTTGCGTTTGAATTTGAGACTCGTTTTTCTTTATTTTTTATTTTAATTATTTATTTTTTTTCTCCTCCTAGCAAAGTACTAGTAGTTGTGAATGTTTAAGATAAATAAATTATAATAATTAGTATAGTTTATTCTAATATACTGCTATTAAGTGTTTAGAATAATTGATGAATTAAATACAACTTATGAAATAACTATATAATACCACACTTCTCATTAGTAATTATCTATTTTTATAAGCCTTCACTTATAAATGCGTTACTATAAGATATTAAATGGTTGAATACTGGGTAACTTCCTGTATTAAGTTGTAGAAATATATATTTAAAATAAAAAGGAATTTTTGTAAGAGACTGGAGAGGCATTTGTTTTCTATAATATCCGACCTTCAAGTTCAATCCACATCACACACACACACAGGCCTAGTTCTTGTTTAGAAAATATCGTCCATCAACTTCCTGTCTATTAACAAATGTCTTCTTTCAGAGACGTAGTTAATAACATCAAAATGACTCGACAAAGGACAATGTGTGAATGACCGCATTCAATGAATTTATTTGCTAAAACAACCTCTAGTGGTATTTAATAGAACTAATGTGGGCAGTTATTAATGATCCCATTTAATAAGATTCGGATAATCTTTGAGACTTATTGTTTAATCTTTGTTAAATACATGAATGCCCCTTCAGTGTTTTTTTTTTTCTTAATGTGGACAATTTGGCGACTGTTTCTTTGTTTCTTTTTCTTTCCTTTTACCACGCAACTGGATTCGTCGTAGACTATTATTCTAGTGACACTTTGAACTAATCTCACAAGTAAAACTTGATTGGAAATTTTTCAATAATAACAGGCTCTACTGACATCAAACAAAACCCACAATTTTCTGTAGCGTTCGATGAACGTCGCCAATATTTTGACCTTCAAATGACACACCCGAGCAAAGGTGGGAAAACATAGCGTATTCAAGTAGTGTCTTGAGTAATAGATTTACATATTTGATCACAATTAATACGATGCGGTAAATTACTCATAGGAATCTAATGATTTTTTTTTTTTTTTTAATTTAAGAATCGCATTTAACCTTGACACGAATTTTGTAAAAACAGATCGAATAACCCCACCATAATATTATTACTTTTACGTAGAATCTACGTTACGCTTGCGTATATAAACAGTTATAAGTTAGTTCTACCGATCGATTGGTGATGTGTTTTTCCTCTCTGAGGATAGTAATTAGTATTTGGCGAGAGGTACAAAGTCTGGGTATAACGGTCGTGTGTTTGCATCGTCGACTAACTAAATCGAACACCAGTAGAGAGAGATAAAAAGTAAAGCGTAACTTTTCATTGTCTAGTATATCTGTGATGTTACGAAAAGGTAAAACAGAGGAGATATTGCGAAAACATTTGGCATTTTTTACGCGTGTTTAATTCGTTTAATAAACACAAAAAATCGATTATTAAATGTTTGTACTTAAACACAATGGGTGATATAAAGTAATGGTGTTATGACACATTTTCCTTTTAGTTGCGCTTACGTCGACTTAAAGGAGCATGCTTAGACGATATTCTTATCTCTGGACTCGATCTTGACAAAGAGAAAGACAAGTTGCCTTCTCACACAACACACTATGAAGCAACACGCTTGTCAAACTGCTTCTCGTGCCAGAGTTAAAATAATTTTTTTAAAACCAAACGTAAACGTATAAATAATTCTTTATATAATTTTCATAAACATATTTAATTTAAAATATATATATATATAAAAAAAAAACGAATCGAAAATACATAGAATAAGTTTTAATAAGGAGTTAAGAGAGGGAGAGAGTGTGTGTGTTTCTCAGGAATTAGATTGTTATTTTTGATTAATATTCTGAATTGAGCGATTAAAATGCCTTCATTCTTACGTTTTAATAATGTGTATTGTAGGTTTGTAATGGGAAAGACGTATCGTCTTTCCAGCAAAAAAAAAAATTATTATTATTATTATTATTATTTGGATCACCTCTTGAAAAAGTTTAATGAAAGAAAAGAGTAGCCACCTGAATATCTTGTTGACTTAACCCTGCCATCCAGGAGAGAGAGAGAGAGAGAGAGAAAAAAAAGTTTGCACGCCGCCTCCACCGCAGATGAAGGAGGAGCCAGCTATCCCAGCAGAACCTGCTTGAGGCGGTAGCGGGCCCCAGAACAACCATCGTGATATCCAAGTTGTAGCTTTCAGTCTGTTAGCGAGCATCAGCGGGCGAAGATGGTTTTTCCTCATCTAGGGATTGCATTCTTTGTTGTGGTGTGTCTAACCGGTGTAAGTTCCCAGGGATCTTGTCGCAAAGCCAAACTTTGCTGTTCGGGCAGAGACAGTTCTTGCGTGGTCCAGAAAGCTCCGGTTAATGCCATTATCGAAGATCTCTCCGATAAACCCTGTTATTGCGACCACGCTTGTCTCAAAGTCGGTGACTGCTGCCACGATTTTAAGGAAGCCTGCGGTGGTAAGTCTAAAATATAATTATTAAATAAATTATAATAATACAAGAATCGGGAATTAAGAAAGGTGGGGAAAAAAAATTACATTTTTAAATTAGAGAAATTTTTCAAGGCTGCGTGATCGAGCGTGAAAGTCGCATTTTTATAAATATGACAATTGTTCTTTCGAACAATCGTTCATATTTACTCGATTCAAACCGTATAAAGTTATTAATTAATTCAAGAGAACAATTAAACGAACGACACCGTCTCGAGATAATAATATAAATCGTATAAAGACCGAAATCGTAAAGAGATTATTACCGGTTCCCAGTATTATACTGTAATCCAAAATTAAATTCCGGATGTGTATTAAAATAAATTGTTACCTGTGTTATTTTCTACCAGACAGCGGAAATGTCACATGTGTGCAACCTCAATTATTAAACTCGTTCAATTCACTCCCCCCCCTTGGTCGGGACAGCTGGTAATAGCGGTCAAATTCTAATCTTGAGCCAGACCTTGAATCTAAAGAGATTATAAAAACGGTCATATACGACCGGAAATAATAGTACAGTATTTCGATTCGTGTCGTTAACCCAAATAATAATAATAATAAAAAAAAAAACATTTATCACGAATTTATTTCCATATAGATCTTAAGTTATCATTTTTAAGGATTGAAAGAACATGCAAAAATAAATAAAAAGTTATTTTACTTTTTATTAAATCGCAAATTCGAACTAAAAAAAACACTCTCTCGGTCTCGTTTCAAGTACAGATGTTTTGCTTTGGTATCGGATTACTCCGACATTCATTTTACTACAGTTGATGCTTTCCAGTTTTCATTCAAATAATAATAATAAAAAAACGGCAATTAGTAACGACATTACTGAGAATTAAGTTATATAAAAGACTAGAAAAAAAAGGGGGAAAAAAATTCACAGCTACCTCCAGCTGTATCCTAGTTAGAACTAATCAAACTCCACCAGCTCCACCTTCTACCCCCAGGGTAGCGGATATGGCCCCCGTTCTAGCATGCCACAGGTGTGTATTTGTTACCTGTATACCTAGTAGTTATTTTTTTTTTTTAAAGGGGGGGAAATGCTCTACCGATGCACGTGCAATCCATTTCTAAATTGAATAACTGCAGGCGTTGGTAAAATGTTCTTCTCCTTTTCAATAAATAAGGTGCGTGGCACCCGAACCTTTTTTTTTTAAATTTTTTTAAAATTACTTTCGTCTTCTATAAATACGAAATTATGGAATTTAAAACGAATGCGTTCTTTCATTAGAGAGCGCTGATCTCGTCGTCGTTAATGTCATTTAACACTGAAAAAATTCCACCCCCGCAGAGCACACAGCTAAAGTTTTTTTTTTCTTTCTTTTGAACTCTCGAGCCTCTGAGGCCAATGCTCTTGGCTAGTTTGTTACTTCTTTACGAAACACTCGCTTTTGATCGTAACACAAGCTTATTATTATTAAAGTTATAACACTTTATATATATATATTTAGAAAGAACTTTACGTTAAAATTACTCGTTCTAGTAACACATAAAAGTTGGCAAGTGAAAGTCGAGAAGCGTATCCAAATCTGACGTATGACAAAAACGACTTTCTTTGGCATTTATCGGTGTAACAAACGAATACATTTGGATTAAATCAGACACGGTCGTTATTATAATAAACTTTATACGGCTCTTGTCATTTTCGGAATTCTTTACTGTCAGATAAATGGATTTAATCGATAACTTTTTTTTTTTTTTTTTGTAAAGGATGAACTCGTAATATCTTTAAAGGCGATTGACAGGGATTTTAAACTTAGAGGAGGGGGGAAAATGATGATTGACGTACTGACACTCCCGGGGGCTCTCTATGGAAGTTGTACCTCCTACCTTGACTGGTCGAGTCACCATATTTCTTGCTTTACACTCCATTTCGTTTATCCTCGGGTGACGTTCTCTGTAGATTTCTACGTACTTTTCACGCAATTATTATGAAATATTCGAGCTTTTTCCTTTTAAGAAAACTTCTGGAGATTATTTAAAAGGAGATATAATCTTTATTAAAATCAAAATAACGTAAATTTATATATATATATATATAAGTCGTTCTTTATTTATTGTAATCAGTATTCTTTTAAAGCTAATTTTGTTGGATTATTATAGGAAAAACCGAGTAAAAAATATCAATTTTTTTTCTCCATATTTTAATATAGTTTTCTCTCTCTATTATTTTCGGTTAGACTATGTGTAATTCACATATAGATAAGGGAGAGTTCAAATGTACTTCGCAGATGTTAGATGATGAATGAGCCAATGGCTAGAACTTGAACATTAACACTGCAAGTATTTATATCCCGTTGAGAGTTTTAAATAAAAGTATTCGCTTCGAAATTATCTATCTTCAGTTCTAGATAATTACTGTGACATTTCGTGTTTTCTGATATAAAAGGCATGTCGTTTGTTAAATATCAGAGAATACAATTATCTGTGTAAATAGACAATGGTATTCTGTGTGTAAACTTCTGTTACGATTTAAAGTAGTTATCTATTTATAAAGTAACAAATTTATACTTTATATATATATATATATATATTTTCTAGTGACAGACTGCGAAGTGTCGGAATGGGGTCGGTGGTCTTCGTGCAACGTGGACTGTGGCACGGGTTTCATGAGTCGAGAAAGGAATATAATTCAGCATCCTCAGAACGGTGGACGACACTGTCCGGAATTAATTCAGAAAAGAGGCTGTTTGGGTACTCGTTGCGAAACTAAATCGGTTATTAAAGCACACAGAGGTAAGTTATGGACTAAAATTACAGAACACACCTTTATATTTTCGCTTATTGCTACGGTACGCGCGCACATATATTCTTCTTCCAATGACTTATATAGCACGGAGTAATTGGGATGTACGTTTTAACCCTGGTACAACCACACCCTTATCCCATGAAAAATGGAGCGTTTTATTTCTTCGAAAGTAACTCGGACGTTTAATTTCCCCATCGTTAAACGGAAACGGAGTCCGACCACGCTGCGAAATGTAAACATAACCATACAACTTTAATCACGGTCTACCTTAGGCGTGTTAAAAAGTAAGATAGTGGGCGATTTTGGATGCAGTTCGAGACTGACGACCTCATAAATACTTCTAAACTAATTATACCGAGGGGAAAAAAGACTCGCGAGAGAGAGAAGGGGATGGCTTCATTTAAATTACAAAAAAAGGAATTCGCTTGTTATATATCATGAATATAAAATCTATTGGACATCGTGAAGGGTGGCAACTTGTCGCTTCTTCCCACACGCGGCTCGTGGGTTGCTGACCCAAGGACTTGTGTTTCTGTTGTTCGTTAGACGACATTTCTGTGCCAGGGTCGCAAGTTTGGGACAGACAACGATCCTCTTTTGTTCATCCGAATGCGTAGCGTTACGACCAAAGACAGAAAAAAAAAAAAAAATTCATCTCTCACGGAGATGATTTATACTTTTAATCCCTCAATCGCTGCTTTTATGGACATATCCTGCGCGGCTATCTGATCCTATTTACTCGCGGGCATAGAAGTGAAGCCGAACGATGTGAAAGTATGTTGACTCGCTACACTTTACGGCCCGATAAAAATATAAATCATTCAGACAAAGCCATCCGACGGGTTAAGGAGCAGACACCCCTAATGACTGTCCTCATTCTTTGACATCCAAAGCATCCCTGACCTGAATACCCAGTCTTTTTGGCAGGTGATCGCGTCACGTGATTTTTGAAAGCATCGCCTTCTTTCGGGTAGAGTAGAAGTACTGTACCTTCCATTATTACATATAGATTTTATAAACAATAAAGTGCGCACTTTATTCGACTATCGGCAGAAATGACGCCAAAGGTCGTTATGCCAAGAACTAACGTTCGCTCTGGTTATTTACCCGCTCAGTCGTCACAGAAATTGGCAACCTCTCGGAAAAGTTTGCACAATTGCAGAATTTTTTACGACGAATTTGGAACTAACCATTTAAAAAGTTATACGGAACCTTAGCGAAACTGATTGTAGTGTAGGTAAAAAAAAAAATGTCGGTGAGAAATTCAATGCCGCATATGGTTATTCTATCAATCATGGTACAGATACAATCTTCTTATCTTACATGACCAGTCAAAAACCCTTAGCCGATAACTAGATTGATGGATAGGACTTCTAAAACGTGTCCACTCAACCGGCAAGACTTGCAACTTGTCGAATATAAACCAAATATTAATTCGATAACGTAAATAATACCAATACACAAAACGATTTCGTACGCCAAACCTAGTTTTAAACAGTACTTTATTTATTAATAGATAATGAAAACCATTACTAATAAACACAGAAAATAGTCGAATTTTAAACTCGGGAAGGGGGCATTAATTAATAGTTTTCATGGGAAAAAGTATGCCTCCTATGACTTTATTTATGTAGTGTTTGGAATTTTTCAATTTTTGAAGTGGACCACCCACCCGTCGACTCTAGTCGGGGGGGGGGTGATCCGTCCGTCGACAGCAATCTCCTTTTGTTGCCGGCTCGTTAAATTATGCTAACGATAAAACAACGGTTATTTTACTTATAAAGTGTTGTTAGCGCTTTCTTCCATTCGTCAGAATCGTCCGAAATTCGCAAACAGTAACGGTAATTTGTTAAAATTATACAATTAGTTCACGAATTATTTAAAGATCCGTTCGTGAGTTATTTTTTTTCTTCTAAAAATATGCCAAAATATATTTTAAAAAAACTGAAAAGTGCAGTCACACCATATACGTTAATCTGAACATGAATCAGCACTAAAGTCGATACCGGGCGTATATATTTAGCAACACAAAAACTTTACATTGTATGTTAATGCGTTCCTGTTTCCTGTTTTTGATCTCCGCGTGAATTTTTAGTCTTTTTTTTTTATTATTTTTTAACATATTATTTTTTTCTCTCTTTCTAGAAATGGCTTTAATTCTACCATCCATGTACTCCCAAATACGTACAGCCAATTCTACTAACGATATAAGAAAGAACTTGCGACTTCGTTACCCCAAAGATCCGGCTAAAGAAAGCAGCAAAGAGTAAGTATTTAAAAAAAAAAAATAGTTCTTGTTTGTTTGGAATGTTCGGGCTATGATAAAATTCCACCGGGAAGGGATTTCCCTCCCCCTTTCTCGGATAGAAGAGCGCAGGTGGCTTATCTGGTACTAGGTCGAACAGGTCTCGTGACTGGATAAACAAACTCCTTCGCGATAAACTATCACCCCTAAAAGCTTCCCTAGAGTTTTAGAAAGCGTTCTTTATGTAATGCGTACCAAGAATTTACGAAACTGGTTCGGGTACCAAACGAAAAAAAAAAAAGAAGTTTCGATGACGTCCAGTTTATTTATTAATCTTTACAAATTTTTATTTAAAAAAAAAGGGTATTGTTAATCGAGTTACTTAATCAATCACGAGAAACAAAAAGAAATTTGCATAACCGATACCAAGAACTGTTTAAAACCAACGTCGTAACTCTCCTTCGAGGACAATTAAAAACACTTTATTCTCCTGTTTTCCGAGCGATAAAAATATCAAAGAGGAAAACCGAAAGAATAAATCGTGACGTCGATCAATTTTCATATTTTTTCCTGGAGATTTACATCATTATTATTATCCTTTACAGGTATTGCATCGTGTTCGAAGTCACTAAAGTCCGCAAGGCGTGCCATCACATGGAAGACGAGGTGTCCAAAGTAATGACGAAAGGATCTCAGATATGCGTAACTTGCGAGCACGCTGCAATGCGTAAACATCTAGGTTACAGATGCAACGGGCACGGGATCCACAACAAACCGACAAGGTGGGCCACCCTATCGAATCCGCAATGCCACGGACGTTGGATAAGGAAAGAGAAGATAGATCAATGTCCTTGCCACGAGGGGGGAAAACCGGATTTCATATTCGTCTGATATTAATGAGGATCGAATAAATAAATAAATAAAAAGGGAATAATCATTCGTTAACGCATAAAAAATAAAACGTCATCGGTAACACCTACACTTATTATTATTATTATTTTTTCTTTTTGTGAAAAACAATAGCAAAATTCGCGATGCTGTCATTCGAGATCACGCCGGGTAGATTCTTGTTTTGTAGCAAGTATATCGAGAATACGCGATCGTACCAAATTCCATTTTGATAGGTGCTTAACTATTTCTTTTTCTAGTGTAAATATTAAAAAAAGTAGCGGTGTTAATGTTTGTCTTCCTCTCCACGTTTTTTTTCTTGTTTTTTTTTATAGAATAGCTAATTTGTGTAACATTACATTACTTCACTACGTTCGTGAGGTTTTTTTTTACACAATTTATAAATAAATATATATATTATATGTTGATATTCGAAGATACTCGGAATAAATGCCCTTTTAGGCTGCTATTTTTTACAATTAATTATTCTTTTATGTTTGTTTTATTGAATTTATGTATTTGGTTATATGTAATAAATAATATTTAACGTGTTTGTTTCTTGGATTGGATCCACTTCCATTTCCTTTCTTTATTCTGGTATAAAACAGATTAAATCTCGGAACGTAATTTAAAAAGAATTTTTATTGCAAACTTATATTTCGCTGTGGCAAATTACAAAAAATTAAAAAGAAAAAAACAAAGCACTATTTAACATACCAAAGGTATTTTTTTTTAAATACAGTTTTTCATACACGTATATATATTTTTTTTATGCATTTTTCTAATTATAGTAATTAAAAAGTCGCTCATACTTAAGGCATATTTTATCATAGACCCATAAAATGATTCTGTCTTTAATGATCGTTATGCATTTTTTTCTTTTCCTCCTCTGAATGAGTACTTTGGGTGTTTTATATTTATAATGAATTATTTTATGGATCTTACAATTGTTTATAACTCTGCCACATCATGCTATATCGAGTAGTAATAGTAGTTTTATCACATTTAGCATTTCTACAATATAGTGACTATATAAGTATCAGTTTTTTTTTTCCTAAAGCCATAAAAATACCATTATCTGGCATACATCACATAAAGCTATATTCTGTGAAACACAACACCTATTAATGAAGAATGTAATTTTTAATTCAATAAATATTTAAAAAGAAATGGTAAAAAAAAAAGCAGCTTTCACCACTCTACAGAAGTATTAAGTACTCTCGTTATATAATATAATTAAAGAATTATTCGCAAGGAAAACAAGGAAATTTCTGTGTAATAACAATAATAATGATGACGAAGATAAAATAACTTTCTATAGTAATTAAAGAAATTTAAAACTCCAGACTCAAACTTGTTTCTGTCATCTAAATGTTCTTCCAGTTAAAAAAAACTTAGACCAAATACTGTAATTACAAGGTAACAGATAATTGCTACAATAAAAAACTGTTATATAAAACTGAAGGGGAAGAAGAGTGAAATAATGAATTATTTGTACCAGTTCTAACAGAAAAAAAAAAGAGTTTTATTTTTTAATGTAACAAATTAAGAATTAGAAAAATGCATCTGAATCTCAAGAATAAATGTAAATACACACAAAAATATCAATTGAATATCATAAATGGACATTTATCATTCTCTTTTGCGGTTAAGTCTGATTTATTCACTAATTTTTTTGTTTCTTGAGAAGAGATAACAATTGAGAAGAAACAGCTTTCAATTCATTCTAAACTTCATTCAAATTAGTCACAAAAATATTTTTTTTTGTACATTTTTAGTTTAAATGCAAACATTTATCTTAAATTTATTTATTTATTTTTAAAGGATCTAATTAGTAAATCTGTACACTTTACCATTAATTTCATAAATGTGTAAGTACTAGACTAATAGCTATTTTAATTAATTTTGTTTTTTTGAATAATGGCTTTATTTTTTTTTTGGACGGTAAAAAAAGGACCTGAGAACGACGATGCCGTTCTGGGTCGGAATGCCAAATTTAAGATTTTAATTCAGTCCGTTAGAAGTTATTTGCAATTCATATTACCGGCCAGCCATTTTAAAGCATTATTAAAATGTGTACGCTCGGTCCACGTATACGAATCTTGTCCAAAAACTTGCAGCATTGTAAAATAAATTTCGTCGACTGCACGCCAGCTAACACTTCGGCTGCAGGCTTTTTTAAAACTATTCTATGGAGGTAAATCTGCAACAGACAAATCATTTCTAACCTACGGATGGCAAAGGCACTCATTTAATATCTAAGAGACCTAATAGTGACAAAGATATCTTCTAAATGTTTTCTAAATACTTTGTTAAGACAAATGTAAACAATGTGAAGATGGATTTTAAAGTAAACTGTAAATATAAACGAATCAAGTCTTTCAAAGCCACAAGCGATATTCTTTTTAATTCTGTTTCTCGGCAAATTAATTAGTCTACAGAAAAAGAAAGAGAAAGAAAACAGTACAAAGTGTTTACACAAATGGTGAGTGTATACCTTTATGTTTTTATTTATCATTTTATAAAGACTCTAGCGGTCAAAAATACTAAGACGTGCCTTAAAAAAGCGACATTAAATGATTGTCGAGACACAATAGAAAAACTTGCTATAGTTAAGGGCAGTGAATAGTATATATTTGGCAATGATAGCTTTTTGCATGTTTTACAAAATGGCAAATTTAATGAAAATGCAATCTGTCGTTTTCAAAAACTACTCATATATAAAATTTGCTTATTGTAGATTCTGTACATTTCTGTTGCGCCAATCTCCGACCACAATTAAATACCATAAAAAGCAAAAAAAAATGTTAGTTTATTATACTCGTATAATGCGTGTTTGTGTTTCTGTGTGTAAATATCAATTCTCGTGTGTTAAAAAAAGAAAAAACATAACAAAAACAAATAATAAAAAAGTTAAACATACTTTTGGCATTGTCATCACAGAAGACAAAACAATGTAACTGTTCATATTATATACTAAAAAAAATACAATAAAAATTAATACTGCAAACAATTCAGATCTTAATTTGTACTTGAATATCCAATACAAAAAGAAACAAGAAAATTAATCGGGAATGAGCGTGATTTTACTGATGTATTCGCTGGAAAATTCGAAATATTGATTATTTTCGACGAATCTTTTGACGCCGTTCTTATCGGAATATTCCACTTGACTGAAAGAAACAAGAAAATTAATACTGTTCAAGGTATAAAATATTGCAATATTATCAATAAAATTATTTTGATATAAATAAAAATATTTTAAAACATTTGAATACAATCATTAAAGTAAAATTCTTAATTATAATAAATAAATACATTTTAAAAAAAATACATTAAAAGATTGCACATTTATAATCTCTTAATTATGTGGTACTTTGGCTCTTTAATTAATCATTAAATAATTTGCTTTTAGAGAACAAGCGCTATGCTAATTGTGTGTCTTATAGATGCCATCAATTTTTCAAATTTATTATTTGTTAATAATATACCCATATTTACACATGATAAAAATCCTCACAAACTACTTTAATGGAGTGAAATTATTCACTCTTAAATAGTTTTGGATTCTTTAAAATTTATTTTTGGTCAGTCAATTTGTTAAATGTGAGGTACTGACATGTCAATACTAGAATGTTGGCCATAGTTTTGTCCATTTCAGGTGACCCTTGTCACTGGGGTTGGCCAGGATGTACGAGAACAGCAAACAATATCTTAATACATACTTCCCAAGATGAATTACGAAACTGGGATCGGAGTTGAACCTGGATCCTCAAGAAGAGATGCAACATTTGTGCAAATAAGGGCTTTCAAGCCAAATACACTTTGCTAACACTTTGCAATGACCATTTATCTTGGAACACAAGCAATTCAAGTGTTGAATTGCTTGTGTTCCAAGATACTTCTCAACTTCTTAAAAGAAGCTGAAATTTGTTTTCTCACATATTTTGAAGAATACAAAAACACTTGTTAAAGACATATTTTGAGGGCAAAGTTTGCAAAGAATTTTATATCTATGAGAAAATACAAGATATATTTTGATATTGATAATGTTATCAAACTAATTGAGCTGTCGTTTAGCATCTTAACTAAGCTTAGTGCAAGAAAACAACTTGCACCATTTAGGATAATGAAAAGCAAGCCAAACGAGAAGAATTTTATGTATGTTGTAAATTAAAATTAAAAATTGCTTTTACAAATTTTTCCATTTAAATTACGTATAAAATAGAACAATTTTTAATTAAACGGCATCTTTTGGACATACACATAGCATAAAAAACAATGCTGTTAAATAACTAGATTATAAATCTGCATCAAATTTTTATGAACAATTAGTGATTGCATAAATTTTCCATTCGTAGATTTATATATAAATTTTTTGTCTGTAAATAAGATGGAAAACTATGAACTAATTTTAATAAATATAAATGCAAATTACAAATAAAACAATAATAGTAATAAAAAAATCTCAAATATTTCATTTGATACTTAAGAATTCATAACAAAGAAGTATTTAAATGCAAAGAGTTCTCACCCAAATATTATTTTCTAGCAAAAGTGCAATATAAATTCACACGTTTTTTTCCCCTATATAAAAATTTATTGAATGGATCAAAATGTTTCCTCTTTGCTTTTTAAGTAAATTCAACTAAGTTTAGAAAAATGTCTTGAATTTCTAAAAATCTCGTGCCCCTTATTATGAAATTCTTTGCTCAAAGTTGCTTAAAAAGACAATATATTTAGGAATTGTTTTGTTAAGAAGCTTTAAAAAAATTTTAAAATGTTGCACTTTATATTCCTGAAATTATTTTAAAAAAATAAATTATATAAAAATTAGTGTAGCCTAATTTGATTTTAAACAATCAGAGCCATAATTTGGAAATGATTTTCAAAGATCGTTTGAAGAGAGATCGAAATGTTACCAATGTTATGTAATACAATGCATAATTTGAAGTTCGGATTCCACATTTAAAAAAAACGAAGAAAATTCTTTCGTTGTTAAAATAAATTATTATAGTTGAAATGTTATTTTAGTATTTTCTAATAGTTTTTTTGGATATCGTAGAATAATTGTAATACTTGCTGCCAGATATATAGATGAATGATTCTTAAAAACGTTCATATTGTGTAAGCGTAATTTTAAATACAAACTTGAAACTGTATCGTTTTTTAGATGCTTAACAATAGCTTTGTCGTGGTTGACCGATGCTCAAAAATTCCTTTTGGTTTATTTTGCTCCTGGAACTTTTGACAACACCTGTCAAAAAGATATGAAAGTTATGTGAAAATTTAATAATTATATTTGAACATATCTATTTTAGTAAATTTATACATGTAATTTTTCACACTTATTAAAATTATTTAAGATCTATATACATAAACACAAACACTGTACCAGATTATATCTTGCTTCTTCTATAATAAAAATTAAATACAACTGCATGAAAAGATAGGTTTCTTTTTTTAAAAACCCTTTTCTTTGTGGCTATAATAGAGGTTCTTTTTATCAAGCCCATTATGGGTTCAGCCAGAGGGATGGGGCCCAACATATTTGGGATGGCCCACCCTCCAAAAAAAAGATTTTTGACCTATCTGGATTTGTCTCTGGGTTCCCAGACAGTAGGCTGGCACCTCAACCATTCGGCCATCTGGCCATGTGATGGTAATCAGTAGTGGGCTATTCATTGGTTTGGACATCGAAATATCTGTATGGCCATACAAAGAATCCTTGCATGGTTTTACATTTTTCTGATGGTATCCAGATGCTTCTCCTGTATTTTAACAGAATAAAAACGTTGTATACTGATCTTGAGATACTGTATGATTTTATAATTTAAATATCTTAAAGACTGATAGAATTCATTCTCATGAAAATAGGGGATGCAACACATCAAACCAACAAATAGCCCATTATTGATCACCTATCCTCAGGTGTAGTTACATTTAGTTATTAAGAAGAAGAAAGATATGGCATGGTACATTGTTTGTGTCTACATCCCGTATATAATTTCAAACATGTAAATTTTGTATATAGGGGTACATGAATACAATTAAGAACACAACATACATTTAGGATTGTTTAAGATTCTACTCTATAAATTTCAATTTATAAATCTTTAATTGCCTCTTTTCATTAAAACAAAATGCAATAAGAAATCTCAATAAATTTAAGATTCATTTATATTCTAATGTCATATGCTTATATATTTCTGTCATATGTTGTATTCTAATATATGACAGAAATATATAAGCATATGACATTAGAATATGCTTATATATTTCTGTCATATGTTGTATTCTAATATATAAATTAAATTTATAGACTAGAATATAAAACATAGAAAATATAAAAACCTAAAGCTTTATTACTTTTGACTTCATTCGTTTTTATATCAGAAATATTTTTGGGAGATTATTGAAGTAAAAACTTGAATAGAAACATTATATTAAATAGTTAAGTGTGTGTAATTTTTCATCTACTCGAGGAAGTGGAAGAGAATGTATAACATATAAAAATACTTTATGACATGTTAAAAATGATACTCTTAAAGTTATTAACAATGTTTATTTGGAAACACAAAGACGTTTTGTTTCACTTTCCATTTCAATGATTTAGAATATTTCATTTTGCCATTCATTACTATTTTACAATAATTCATTCAAAATCTATTTACAGATACAAATCATTATAATTTGAAAATGAATGAACATTTTTCAAATTCAATCTAAAAATTAACTATTAATTGGTTTGAATCGAGAATTTAGTAGTGGAAAACTAAGAATAATTAATAAAACATTACTTACTGAAGTATTTATATGTAATGATTTATTATTGTAATGCTAAATATATTATTTAAAAATAAAATCATTAAGCAATATCACAGAGGTAATTTACTATTATAATCATCAGAGCAATGAACACTATTGTATCTACTCTTTTAAAAAATTATTTTATTTGTGTGCTTTTGTTAGTTTTTAATTCAATTATTAAATAGAAGTAGCTCATTTCTATGCATTATGTGTTTAGAAAATTGATAAATGTCATGTAAAAATATTTAAGTTTGTGAACAAAAATTGAGCTATTGAATTTCACTTTTATTCTTGTTTTTACTTTTATAAACGTCAGATTGTAACAAACTATATAAGTGAAACAACTTATCAATCTAGAGTTACCAAATTTAAGCCTGATGCACTGAATTATTCTGGGCTATATGAACACTAACTAATATAGATTTAGGAAAATAGGTAGATAGTGGAGACACTATCTCACACAAAAAATAAAAATTAAGAATTGGAAATTTGAATTAAATAATTTTGAAAATTCTGAAAGAAAAGATCGATCCAGAAGGAAATTCAAATCTGTAATTTTCACAATGCTGACAGGTAATTACTTGTCAAAGTAAGCCATTAAGGATTTATTAAAAATTTATACAGTATAATGTAATATAATTTGTCATTTAAACAACCAAGAAGAACACAATTTATCAACAGTTACACAGATTAAAAACTAAAAATGAGTGCAACTCAAATTATTAAGAAAGAAGCTCACAGCTTCTTTCTTAATAATTTGGTGTTCTCTATCGTAATAATGAATATTATGGTGTAGGACAAAGCCCAATGCCCAGCCTACAATTGAGTATTCATTATTATTGTAGGAAACGAGATTATTTTGAAAAAGCCTGTAGACAAAGCAAAGACAAAAATAGGCAAATAAAATATATGAAAAAATACAAGTGGTGAAAAGAGTACAGAGAGTGATAACATGAAAACTGTAATTCTTCGAATAAAACAAAAAACAAGACTTTTGGACAATTATACAATGATACTAAAGGGTTAATTAAAAATAAAAATAGCTAAAGATGCCAATTGCAATATAATGAGTTAAAAACAAACATGTTAAAATAATTACAAGATAAAGGTTTCTGATATGTCATGCCTGGAAATATTTTGGGTGCATACAACCAAGACAATCAAAGATAGCATGTGAAATAAAAGACAAGAGCACACAGTAAGTGAAATGAAAAGTACAAAATGCTGTTAGGTTGACTGACTTGAGAATCAACAAGATTGATTTTAAAAAAATGTTTAGTGTATCACAGGAAGAAAAACAAAATAATAGAGGAATACAAAAACTGTTTCAAAGTCCTACAAACTTTCGGTTTTCCACACCATGTTGAAAAAAACCAATGAAGTATAAGAAAAAGCCTATACTTCATTGTATTAGAGACAATGTAAAAGAAAAGCTAGACAGAATGGAAAAAATTAGGCATTATAGCTAAAGTTGACAGATCCACAACATGGCACAGAGTAATGGTTGCAATATGTAAACCAGATAAATCTACATACCCTGCATAGATTGAGGAAAAAAAAACATAATAAGACTAATATTTCTGATAATAACAATATACAAAACAGCTGCACAAATGCCAAATATTTTTGAACAAAAGATAAAAGTAGTTTTTGGCAGGTAGCACTGGATAATAAATCATTATATTTAATGACTTTTACTGCACCATTTGGCAGATACCATACAATGAGAATGACATATGGATCACTGTACTCAGCAGAAGTTTTCTAAAAAGATCTTCAGAATTTCCACAAAAGACATATGCTTGTAGTAGTAATGGATGATTTCTTATGTAGGAAATCTCATGTAAAGAACATGATTGGTAACATTCTTTGAGAAAGTTTGTGAAACAAGTTTAAAATTCAATGGCAAAATGATCAAATTTGCAGTCACAGAATTAAAATACTGCAGACACATACTGGCTGACAAAGGTCTAAAAGCAGATCCATCTAAAATAGAAAATATAATAAAAATGCCAAAGCCAAGAACCCACACTGAGATAAGACAGACAATAGAATTGTATTTACATAAATTCATTCCAAGTGATCAAAATTAACTGAATTATTAAAGAAATATCTGGAAATTCTTAAAAGTACACTATGTCACCAGCCAAAGAAAAACTGTTAAAATAAGTTTTAATAAAACCACAAATATTATTAGATTTTGATAAAAGAAGACCAATTCTGTTGTCTATAGATGCAACTTCAACAGTATAGTGCTCTATTAAGCAAGATAATCATCCAGTTGCATATGCCTTGAGGATACTCATTTGAACACAACAAAATATTCACAAATAGAAAAAAGAATTACAAGCTGTTATATTTGGATACCAAATATCCAACTCAGATATTTTTTAAAAGAAAATAAAAATATCCATTAGAGATCATTTTATCAAAGTCATTAGTGGATACATGGGCATGATTTCATTGTATGGCATTACAACTGCAAAGGTATGATATTGAATTTCACTGTACTTCTAGCAAAAGATTAGTAATTGTAGATTTACTTAGTTGTTTACATATAAACATTTCTAAAGAATTGGACATTTCATTCCAGATACATTTAGCATTAAACACAACTAATGAAAAATAAGAATGATTGCCAATGCAATTAAAAAAGATAAAAATCTGGCTCTTTTAAAAGATATATGGTAATTAAAAATGCTTGGCATAAAAAACGAAAACAGAAGCTTGTAAAGCAGTTGTTTTATCTATGCCTTTTACAGCAAAAATAGAAGGAATCTACAAATGAAATACATCCAAGAGGTTCAATACAGAATAAAATAAGCACAATGAACTCAGCCATCAACCTGAGGAAATTAAAGAATCTATGAAACATAGAACACTAAGTAAGTATATATATATATTTTTTTTTGGAAGGAATATGACATTTAATGCATTCTTGATATAAACTGTAAATCAGTAAATAAAGATGACAAACAACATTATGTTTTAACTTTGCCTCCACTCAGGCCTAAACAAAATTTTTGTCGATTATTGTGTTATCACGTCAACGATCAGTTACTTGTTCCACAATGAGGCTTGTGTGTAGGATTGGGTTTAGATTGCACCTTGTTTCAAAAACTGGTCTATGTCTTTTGAATCTGAGTTACATAATGAACTTTGGTAAAATAAACACACTAATGTAAACTTCTATTTTAATAACCATTTAATTTTGCTGTAGAGACACTTAATATTAATTATCCTACTGATTCATTTTATGAATCAGCTTTAATTACAATTTAATTATTTTTAATTGATGTATGTTATCTGTAGAATCATGAGATGACCACAAGATAAAAAGAAAAATTTATGTTTCCTAAAGGACACAAAATGTGAAATTTATAGTGTATGAATTAGATCATATAATAAATTATTTTGTAAAGTTTCCTAATTAATGATAAATATAGCAGAACTTAAAAATTGAAATTTTTCATTTAGCTTAATTTTAAGCATTTTATAATAAAAAAACGATAATTATTATAAAATATTCAGTTACAATTACCTTTGAAACATCCACACCAGTCAAAGCATGAACAGCTGGAGGTAACTGACTGACTAATTTAGTTACTCCACAAGTTAACTGATCATCACAGCTATTCAAAACAATCTCATCAGTTTTAGATAAAGGAGCTGCCACTTCAGCTGCAATCTAAAACATAATTGTTTTAAATTACAATAAAAACTGAATAGAAATTTATAATTTTAGAATCTTACTTTTGGAAGAGCCTCCAAGACAAGACTCATCACTGCAGCTTCTCCATACTGTTTGTAAGCTGCAGCTTTCATTCTCATTCTTTCGGCTTCGGCTTTTCCGACTGCTTCAATGGCATAGGCATCGGCACCTCCCAGCATCTTTATGCGTTCAGCTTCTGCTTTAGCTACCTCAACTGTTTGAGTCCTGAGAAGAAAGTGCTTAGATAAATATTTTAAACTATTTTAAAAGTAATTTAATAATTTAATAACTTTACCTTTTTCCATGGGCTATCATTTCAACTTTATAAGCTTCTGCTTCTGCAGGTAAACGAATAGTTGCAGTTAATTCTTTTTCTTTTCTCAGAATCTCTTTCTCTTCGATTCCAATCTGTTTTCTCCTCTCCACCACATCTATTTCAATTTCTTCATTTCTAATTTTTTGTTTCATTTTTGCAGATTGCAATTCATAAGCCAACTGTGCTTCCGCTTTCTTATTTAAATAAACAATTTAATTAACTAACAGGAAATATTTTAAATTTAAAATTGTTAATCATATAAAAATAAAATGCAAATATTCATCTGATTATTTAAATCTATTAGGTTGTTCAGAAAGTAAGTTTGTTTTTTTTACCACTAGTTCTGGATGGCCAGTTGAAGCCAACGAAAACAAAATAAAGGTACTGATTGAAGCAAACTGCCAAATAACAACACGTAAAATCACTAAGAGATTAAATTTGTCAAATTGAACCGTATATGATTACTTGAAACAAATTGATTTCGTTTCAAAGCTCGATATATGGGTTCCACATATTCTTAAGGAGAAATGCTCTCTTCGGTGGGATTTTAAGGAAATTTTTTTCTGGAGCTTTACTAGACAATTTAACAACTGATTCGAAAGAGTACTGCCATCGAGTAAACAAATTGAGTAATATCATCAAACAGAAAAAGCGGCCAGAACGGATCAACAAAACAGGTGTAGTGTTTTACCACGATAATGTCAAATTTCACACAAGTTTGGTAACTCGTCAGAAACTGTTATAACTTAGATGGGACGTGCTATTGCACCAACCATATTTGCCAGATCGAGCACACTCCGATTATTACTTGTTCCGGTCTATACAAATTTTTTTTAACTGTAAGACATTTACTTGAAATGACAATTCAAAAATCATTTGGATCAGTTTTTTGTAAGCAATGATCAAAGCTTTTATGAATGTTGAAATCATGCTACTACCAGAAACGATGACAACATTTGACCAAAATTGTCGATAAATAATTCAACAAAATATTTATTTATTATAAAAATATTGTGTTTTTTTTCATGGAAAAAAAAATAAGCTTACTTTCCAAACAACCTAATACTTTATGTTTTACTGGTATTTATTTTATTTATAAATTTCTTTTATATGTATGTTTTCAAATATGCAACTTATACATTAGTCTTTATGAATATAGTATCAATAATGTTTCTCTCTTGTGTTTTACATTTATATTCTTTTTCTTATTAACTTTAGTTTTAAAAATTATAATATTAAAATAATATAAAAATGCTAAAAATGTGAAATGGTTTGACTCTGAACAAAACAAACTTAAATAAGTTATAATTTATCAAACATTATTTTTCAAATGTTTCTAAACTTTAAATTCATGTCTATAAAACAGTTTAACAATTGTAACAAGTTAAACTCCAGCTTTATTTGCATATTATAAAATGGTGTAATTTAAAATTTAACAATATAAATTTCACTTCATATTATACAAATAAATCCAGCTTTGTAATTTGTTAAAACTGATATATCAACTATTAAATTGCTCTTTAGATATCCAAATTTAGAATTTTAATCATTTAAAGATGAAATATCTATCTCAAAGTGTTAATGTCAAATAAGACTTCTTAATCTATTAAAATTTATTTTGTTTGTTACTTAAATACATATTAATATCTAAAAATTAATTTCATAATTTTTATTAAAACTCTTCATTTGTACTCTCTACTACTTAGCAATTTGAGAAAAATCTAAAAATTAAATAAGTTGCTAAAATAATTATCATCTTTTAAATCTCAAATAATAAAGACTTGAATTCATCACACAATATGATTCTAAAGACATTGTTATACTTAGTCCACCCTAACGTATTTAAATTTAATAAACAAAAACAAATTAATTTTAAAATAATTGTTTAAAGAAAAAGAAAAATATTTACAGTATGTATTTTAATACCAAGATTTCTTTAAAATTCTTTTATATTGTTAAAATACATTATATTGTAAGATACATGCATATTTGTACTTCAAAATTCATTTTAACTATTATAAACATTGATTCAATATCCAAACGTTTTCTATAAATAACTAAAATTAACTAATCCTGAGACAAACAAATATTCAGCATCTAACAAATCATAGGGTATATCCTCTACTAAAAGATTATTATAATAAGATAATTTTATAAGATAACTTTCTGTAGAAAATATGATTTAAAATAATCAACATAAACATATTTAATACATCAATTAAATGTATAATCTTTTAAGAAATATTCACAGTTTTTGCAAATTAATATAATTTGTATTTTTATATGAATAGGAGAAAGTAAATGCAAAAAGTTATCTTTGTGTTTTCATTCTTTATAATAAAAAAATTTGAAACTAAAAAAATTGTTTCAGTGATAGATTTAATTACAAAGTTTTATTTGTAACAGATATATAGATAAAATATAGATACAGTAGAGTCCC